AGAGGTGTCAGAATGTATTCAATGTCTTTCTATGCTTCCGGGCCACTTGTCGTCAAACTAAACCCAATACTATTTGGGGTCTCTTGCGCGGATAATTGTCCCTCTTTTCTTCCTGTGACAGCGTGAAGATCTGAACACTTGACTTTCTTTTGGAGCATATGCTCGTGGCAAACTGGTGTATCCGGATGTGTTTGTGGATACATTGAGACTTCCTTTCGAGCTCTGAGCGCCCATGGCTGTGGAGTGGTGCTGGAATTGAGGGAGTTCCCGTGCAAGACGCCGAAATTGAAAGATGCATATCAAGGCCTCTTGCATGCCCCGCGGGCAATGGTTAGAGGTTCACTTCCCCAATTTGTCTTGGACAGCCACCATTTTCTCTTCTCAGCTTGAAAAGTGCACCGTTCCATGAGTCCCGACGCCAGGACTGCTGTGATGAAGGACAGCGCTATTTCGAGCCACAACAGCAGAGTTGTTCTTGTTCCACCAGAAGAGACTGATTGTATTGCATGGCCTCCAGTCTGGTTTCGCCGACCCCTCTGAGGCGCAGTCCAATGTGCTTGTGCTTTGCTTGTCCTTTGCTCATTCTTTGGTTGTGTGAGGGAACAGGGGGTGAAGGGCTAAGGGGTTGAGGACCGACCATACATCCCTTTTTGCGGCTGCTGCTGTTGCTGTTGCTCTTGTTTTATTTACTTCTTCGTTTGTTCGTTCGTTCGTTTGTTTGTTGCTTGAGCCCTTGCTTGGTTGGCTAGTTGCTTGGTTGCTTAGTTGCTTGGTTGCTTGGTTGGTTCGTTGCTTGGTTGGTTGCCTGGTTGCTTGCTGGTCGGTGGTCGGGGGTTGGTGGTCGGGGGTTGGTGGTTGTGGTGGTTGCGGGTTTGGTTTTGGTTGTGGTTGTGCTTGTTGTGTGGCGGTTGTGGCGGTTGTGGCGGTGGTGGCGGTGGTGGCGGTGGTCGTCGTTGTCGTCGTCATGGTCGTTGTTGCCGTTCCCGTTGCCGTTGCCGTTCCCGTTGCTGTTGCTGTTGTTGTTTGTTCTTGCTCGTATTCTTGTTCGATTCAGGCGGGGAATACATGGCCAGCAACCACGATCCGTGCCCTGTGAACTCTTGATCCTCAATTAAACTATGCACAGAAAACACCGGCCCCATGCCCAGCATGGGATCGGCAGATTGGGCAATCGCGTTTTTGTGTTAGGCAGGCCGGCATCAGGGGTGGCCAAACACAGAACTGGCAGTGAAGGATAGTTTCAATGGGGCCAGATCTTGTTTGGTCGCTTGGTGAGTGTTACAGTACCTGACCAGCATCTGCTTTGTAAGCTTTGCGGTGTTTCAATGGATGGCATGTGGTTGCAAGCAGCATCCACTCTTGACCAGGTAGCCTTGATGAGAAGGCTCCATAAGCTGCCAGAAATCGAATGACAGTTTTTCTTCTCCTGCGGTAGGGGCAGCTTTTTGCACCGTCTCGTAATGTGGGTTAGATGCGAAGGGAGCGTAGCAGGACAACATCCAATGTTTGTTCCCAAATTTGTGGCGCCTTCCATGCCTGATGCTGCAACCTGGATGCAGCTCTCAGCATGTTTACCAACCAGAATGAACACTGCTGAGTTCAGGAGCCAACACCTTTATTGGAGATCCTATCCACATATCACTTTCAAATCGAGCATTTTGGAAGGAACTGCAACGATTCGGCCTCGTTGGCCTTACTATTCTAGCAGGAGCGGGAGTTGGCAATTCCTGGCCAGCCTTTTCCGACTTAAGATAAAAGGGAGCCCACTTTTTTTTTGGATCCCTTGATCCACTTTGGCATTTCTGGCTGCAAGAAGCCGGCGGGCGGCTGGTGCTCGGTGATGCCTTGCTCTCCAAATATATATATATATATATACACATGTATGCATCATTATATAGTATATGTATATAAGTATATATACATATAAATATACACACACATTTGTGGAACCATCAAAAGCGCCCGGAGGTTTAACTGGGGAAAGGCCTGCTTTGGCTGCTTCACGTCCATTGGTCCATGGCCCACGTCGCTCTCAAGGAGAAGGGCCTCATCACCAGCTGCAGTTCCGCCGGGGGCGGCTGGCTGGAGGATGCTCCGAGCCCGTTTCGTGAAGCCCCCTAAGCCTAGGCGCGCGGCGGAGCTGGACCCCCCCCAAAGGACCCGCCCCAAAAGTCTTCGTTTTGTGGTTGGAGAGGCGGAGCTGGACCCCCAATCTCGAATCTCGCGCGGCGCGAGGTGTGAAAGCCTTCTTTCCTGTTTTTGTTTCTGGTGGTTGTGACAAAGAAGTTTAGAAAGAACTCCGGCACGGACGCACAAGAACACATGCGTGCGCGTGGGGGCGGGGAAATCGAAATGTGCAAAGAGTGCACCACTGAAACTCTTCACAACGCGTTCGTAGCGCTCCCTCGGACCAAGCCCATTGGCACGGACGCGCGCGGGGTCAGGCGCAGTTCTCGTAGCCTCAGCGCTTTAGGATTTGAAACGCATGCTTGGTGCAACATGGACAACTTTGTCTACGGTTCGTTCCTTGCTTCACCATGCCTCACCAACCCAAGAACTACATCAGTAGAGTCAGTGAAGCTGGTGGGCGGAAGATTCAATGAAAAAGGACTTCTAGCCCTCTTTATCAGTGTCTTTCTCTTTCTCTTTGGCTCCCTTGTTATTCTATTCTTTGTTGTTCTTTTCTATCTCTCTCCCTCTCTCCCCCCGTCTCTCCGCCTCTCTTTCTCTCTTTCTCAGTTTCTCTCTTTCTCTCTTTCTCCGTTTCTCTCTTTCTCTCTTTCTCCGTTTCTCTCTTTCTCTTTCTCCCTTCTCTCTTCCTCTCTTCCTCTTTTTCTCTATGTCTCCCTTTCTCGTTCATATCGAAAAAAACAAATGCAATTTTTGAGCTTGAGCTAGAGAGTTGTACTTCGCTTGCTACTTTCGTACTTAACAGTTGCGATGTTCGAGCTGCGCTTAAGAACTGCACCTCGCGTCTTACTTTCATACTTCGACAGCGTTGCGCCTGCCACGAAAAAACTGTGCGGCGTTCAAGAAAGTCTTGTTCAAGCTTAGGTTGTAAGGAACTCTTGCGCTAAGGTGCTTGCGCAAGCTTACGTGCAATACAGTTTCTCGTACGCCTTACATTTCTGTGAGCTTCCCTTGCGCAAACCTTGAGCGCGGCTCATGCGAATAAAATCCCCTACAAAGCTCGATGGCTTTCTGACGCCCGCCTTTCCCACCCACACACACACACACCTTTTTCCTTTGGACGCCAACAGGCCGGAGGTAGTTCAGGGGATCCGAGCCAGAGACCTTTCCCAGACCACCAGGCGGTTGCGCCACACGGCTGCGCCCGGCAGGCTTCCGGGCTCGCGAAATAGGCGTCCAAAACTAAAAACGAATCAGCGGGGCGCACTGATTCGTTTTCGCGCCTTTCATCCCCGCAGAAAGGCTTTGCCAGCTAACCAGCCTCACTAACGCTTCTTTGTCTTTTTCAGTGAACACGCGCTAATTCAGTTGTCTCTTTCCTTGTCCCGGTCCCTTTCTTTCTCTCTGTGCGCCTGTCACGAAATCTGCTTCTGAAAGCTCTGCGCCTGCAAGACCTGGTCTGAAGCTTGGAACCCGAACAGCGGCCAAGAAAACTTCAAACCTTTTCCGTTGAGCCATGGAACACTTGCTTGTTGTCAGCTCGAATATGGTTGAACAGACGGACCATGATTTCCTGCTGCGGCGTTTGGATCTCTGATTCTGAACCATTTAGTCATATTCCAGCTGCTGAGAAGCAAGTCAAGCGTCTCGAAGATTGAGGGCATGACTCAGCTGTCGCTTTCCCTGGGCTTGAAACAATTGCCACGCTTTTTGAATCGTTGCTTGTGTCAGTTGCCGGTCATTGCTGTTTGCCATTCGCAGCGGGTGCTGCTTCTTTCTGAGCCGGCTTGTGCTCCAGGGCGCCTTTTCTTTGCTTCACGTGAACTTCGTCCTGACCGATGGTGGCTCAGCACTTGAGGGAGCTGGTAGCAAACGCTGGTCCTTTGATACAGTGAACTTGTCGGGCGGCTTTTCGCTGGACAGATGCTGAGTGGATTCAGTTTTCATTTGTACTGCCAAGCAGACAGCACGTTTTCTAGCGAGAAGAACCGGCATGCTGGATTTGAGAGGAATGCTTATGACATTTGTCATCAGCACTACTTGTCATGTTGGATGGCCTGTGTTCTGTGAGGATTCTTGTTTTGCTATTTTGTGAATGGCCAAGGATTGATGAGCTGTCCAGTCCAGTTCTTGTACATGTTAAAGTGGATGCAAGCGATTTGAGCCTTTACGTCCAAACTGCGTTTTGTCATGGGGGAAAGGCTGGCGCTTTGCCGTTTTTTATGCTTTTCATTGACTGCCCAGGTGCGGTTCACGAAGTAGAACAAATTGGACAGCTGCTTTTCACCTACATTGCCATGCTGCAGCAGTCGGGTGTGAAGATGTGGATCCTGGCCGCTTGGAGAGCCTGTGGTTGTGCATGGATCTTTACCACCCCAGCATCCCTATGCAACATGAGGTGGCGCAACGGAGCTTTTCCCGAGCTGTGCATTTTACCCCGCTTTTGTCACGTGCGCATCTGGGGCAGTGTGAGTTGTTGTTTGTATGCTGGTTACTTCCTTCGGGCTGGGAGTTGGAGCTTTCCTTCAGAGCTGGTTTTCCCTCAATGAACCGATCCACACTTCTGACACCCGAGTTCGGCGTTTCGGATCACAGTTCGGCAGGCTGTCACTCCAGCTTCACAACTGCGTCGATGTCCGAGATTGCTTCACATTGCACATGTTGTAGCTACATCAAACATATTACGTACGTTCTGAGGGCAAGGGCACACTTCTCATCGGCTGCCCATGTTGTCTTCGGGAGAGTTCTCTTCTACTCGCGTGAGCGTTTTCTGCAAAGAGGCTAACTCTTTTGGACGGCGGGTCTGAGAAAACACCAAAACCGACACCGCCAAATGGCCGGTTTCCGCTTTTTGCTTCGCCCAGGAGGAGATGCAGCGTCTCCATCGGATTAAGTTCAAGTTCATGCCGGACAGCCAGCCCTTCTCCTTGGCGGCCAACATCGCGGCCAACCTGCAGGCCAGCTGCTAGGTTTGCGGGGCCAGAACCCTTGGGCTCCTTAAAGGATACATTTTGCCCATTGGAAGCATGGCTTTTTCCACCAAAATAAGGGGAAACCACCATTGACAAGGGAATGTTCAGGTGTATACTGTAAGGATCCCTGCTTTGTAGTTCGCCTTATCAACCCTTGGTTCGGTGGCTTCCGACACGCCGCTCCCGCTTGAGGGTGGGGATGTCTTGCCGGGAGGAAGGCTTTGAAGGCCCCTGAGCTGGTGCAGGTTTGACGCGCCCAATTGGAGGGCCTCTCGGTCGCCAGGTGCACCCGGCCTCGGAGGTGTTGGCGGGGCCCGTGCTCCTCTACGAGCCTGTGACAAGGGGAGGGATGGACCTGAGGGTTACAAGCTGAAGACTTGTCCTTCATTGAGATGACTTTTTTGATGGACCTGTTGGTGGAGAGATTGAGAAACACCACTTTTCGATGAATTCTGAGCGCTGGACCGTGTTCTGACGTGAGGGATGGCCATTGCCTGGCCGGGATTTTCTTGGGTGCGGTCGGCTGGTTGTGAGTGCGTGAAGGTCACCAATCCACCAGGAAACCTCCCTCTGATTTACGGCATACACCAGATGTACTCTAAAAGGTGGGTATCGGAAAGGGCGGGGAAACTTTTCGTCCTTCCCCCCTTCCTGTTCCCTCCTACTCTATTTGTTCCTGATCTCTTGTGTTCCCTGATCTCTTGTGTCGGATGCTGGCTTAGGACTTGGATCCGGATACCGCGCAATCGGTCGTGGATTGCCTCACCCTGGATGCCGTGCGGGTGACACACCAGGCGGACGGGCGTCACGTCCGGCGGCGGGCCGGTGGTTTAAGAGTCTTTTTTGGTCTGTTTGCTCCACACAACTCCTCACAACTCCACTCCACTCCACTCCACTCCGCTCCGCTCCGCTCCGCTCCCCTCCACTCCACTCCACTCCCCTCCACTCCACTCCGCTCCGCTCCGCTCCACTCCACTCCACTCCTCCACTCCACTCCACTCCCACTCCCACTCCCACTCCCACTCCCACTCCCACTCCCACTCCCACTCCCACTCCCACTCCCACTCCCACTGCCACTCCCACTCGTTCTCCCACTCCCACTCGTTCTCCCACTCCCACTCGTTCTCCCACTCCCACTCCCACTCCCACTCCACTCTCCACTCTCCACTCTCCACTCTCCACTCTCCACTCTCCACTCGCCACTCGCCACTCTGCACTCTCCACTCTCCACTCTCTACTCTCCACTCTCCACTCTCCACTCTCCACTCTCCACTCTCCACGCTCCACTCTCCACTCGCCACTCGCCACTCTCCACTCGCCACTCTCCACTCGCCACTCTGCACTCTTTCTCCACTCTCTACTCTCCACTCTCCACTCTCCACTCTCCACTCTCCACACTCCACACTCCACTCTCCACTCTCCACTCTCCACTCTCCACTCGCCACTCTCCACTCTCCACTCTCCACTCTCCACGCTCCACTCTCCACTCTCCACTCTCCACTCTCCACTCTCCACTCTCCACTCGCCACTCGCCACTCGCCACTCGCCACTCGCCACTCTCCACTTTTCACTCTCAACTCTCCACTCTCCACTCTCCACTCTCCACTCGCCACTCTCCACTCTCCACTCGCCACTCTCCACTCTCCACTCTCCACTCTCCACTCTCCACTCTCCACTCCTCCACTTCCCACTCCCCACTCCCCACTTCCCACTCCCCACACACTCCACACTCCCCACCCACCCACTCCACCCACTCCACCCACTGCACCCACTCCACCCACTGCACCCACTCCACCCACTCCACTCCCAACTCCACCCACTCCACCCACTCCACCCACTCCACCCACTCCACCCACTCCACCCACTCCACCCACTCCACCCACTCCACCCACTCCACCCACTCCACCCACTCCACCCACTCCACCCCACACACTCCACACACTCCACACTCTCCAAACTCTCCACACTCTCCACACTCTTCACATCCTCCACACCCTCCACAGTCTCCCCACACTCCCCACACACCCCACACTCCCCACACTCCCCACACTCCCCACACCCCCCCACACTCCCCACACTCCACACACCCCACACCCCCCACACCCCCCACACCCCCCACACACCCCACACTCCCCACACTCCCCACACTCCCCACACTCCTTACACTCCCCACACTCCCCACACTCCCCACACTCCCCACACTCCCCACACTTCCCACACTCCCCACACTCCCCACACTCCCCACACTCCCCACACTCCCCACACTCCTTACACTCCCCACACTCCCCACACTCCCCACACTCCCCACACTCCCCACACTTCCCAGACTCCCCACACTCCCCACACTCCCCACACTCCCACACTCCCCACACTCCCCACACTCCCCACACTCCCCACACTCCCCACACTCCCCACCACTCCCCACACTCCCCACACTCCCCACACCACACTCCCCACACCCCCCACACCCCCCACACTCCACACTCCACACTCCAGACTCCACACTCCACACTCCACTCTCCAAACTCCACTCTCCACACTCCACACTCCACTCTCCTCACTCCACCCAAACCCGCACCCCACCACACCCGCCACCACACCACACCACACCCCACCCCACCCCGCCCCACCCCAACACCCCTACCCCCACCCTCCTACCCCCACCCACCCCCACCCCCACCCCCAGCCCCACCCCCACCCCCAGCCCCAGCTTGGCTTGGGTGGTTTTGATTGGTTTCGGGGCTTAAAACCTGAGCTGTGGCTTAGCTTGGGTGGGTCTGTTGAAACCCGAGCATTTGCGGCTTAGCTTGGGTGTTTTGGATTGGGTGCCAAAGCTCGCGACACACGGCTGGTTTGGGGGCTGAAAACCCGAGCATTTGTGGCTTCGCTTGGGTGGTTTGGATTGGTTTGGGCTTAAAACCGGAGCATTTTGAGGCTTAGCTTGTTTTGGGGCTTAAACCCGATTATTTGTGGCCGAGCATTTGTGGCTTACCGCCAGCCCGACAAAAACCCACCAGACCAAGAGGAAGCTTATGAGTGGTGCCCACCAAAGGTTTGGATTGGGAGATCCATCCCAAAGAGACCACACCTGGCACAGAACAACGCGAGGGGTCGTTCTGGGAGGTCTGGGATCTGCTTGCTTTTTTGGAGGGTTCCGGTCCTGGTAAAGGGAGGAAGGGGTAACACAATGATGATAAATTCGAAACCCATCTTCTCCAAAAACAAAATGGCAAACATAAACAACCACCTGACTTGTTGAGTTCCTTTCCAAAGAACAAAGATCTCGTCGGACGATTGCGCCTTCGGATCAATCCTGGGCGACTTTGGTGTTTCTTCCTCTCGCTAAGGCCCAGCTTTCGTTCCCTGCCTCCAGCCTGTCAACTAAAGGACCGTCTGACTTCTTTGAAGGCTCCGTGTTCACCTTGGTTTCAGGAAAAAACCCACCAGCCCCCCCCCCCCCCTGGCTTTTCCCCACGCCCACCACCCCAAGTACTGTCCGAAACGGGGCGGGGGTTGGGGTTTGGGGTTGGTGGAAAGGGAAGCAACCATGGAGTTTGGAGCCCCTTGAAGAAATCCAGAAGGCGGTGTGGGGTGGGGTGTGGGGTGGGGTGGGGGTGGGGGGGTGGGTCTGCATCATTGGCTCGGGTGGGACTGAGGCGGCCCAGCTGACTGGCACAGCCCAGAATAGGCAGCATTTGTATCATTAGCTCGGGTGGGACCACCACACCAGCCCACCCCACCCCACCCCATCCCAGACCCCACCCCAACCCCCCACCCCGACCCCCACCCCTGCCCCACCGAACCCGCCCCCACCCCACTCCCACTGCTCCACACCACTCCGCGCCGCTCCACTCGGCTCCACTCTACTCAACCGCTGGGCTCCGGGGGGAGGCGTTCCAAATTCTATCCGCAAGAGAGCATCATGTAGGTTTGATCAGATGTCCAGATGTTCCCCTCAAGGGCATGTTTCATTCACCTTCCAATTTTCAGTTGCCATGTTTTGCAACATATTTTCACGATATCAATCATCTGGGCAAACCACTATGTCCTTATCAATTCATGTGCCAGGCAAAGGTTCTGGACGAGCGCTGCACGGATCGGGACACCAGCTATGACTCTCCTATGAAGTTCGAGGACAGATAGATTTCCACAGTCAAATGGGTGTGATGTTAATGAGGGGCCCACCTTTGGTGGACATCATTTAGGTCGGGGATTTATGTCCACCACCCATTTGGGGGGGAGGCTCCCCATTAAAATTCATGGCCAAATGAAGGTCAATTTAAGAGACTCGGACTCTTTACACAAATTTCCCCACATGGTTCAAAATGAACTGTACAAGGGGCTTCTCAGTTTTGACTCGTGACGCTTGCACGGCAGGGCTTCCTTGGCAATCCTGCAAGATGTGTAGCTAGTTGGACCATCCTGGCGCAGGAGATTCCGGACTCCTGGCGCGTAGCCTGGTCTAAGGCGCTGCACCCAGGCTCGGGGATCGTCCCACGCTCTCGAATCCGAATTTTGTGGATTCGGAAACCAGGGGGTTGTCAAACATAAAGGCCCTTTGTGTCTGTGGCACCAAATTGCGCCGTCTTCAAAGGGAAGGCCGGCAGACCTTCATTCAACATGGGTGCGTCGCATAAATCTTCAAAGGTGCACCCATCTGGGAGTTTCCTTAGGGCCGAGCATCATGCTCGGCAGATGTTTGCCAAGGTCAAAATCGAACGAATCAGCTGGTCATCAAAGTCCAAGTTTTGCTTCCAGTCTTTGCTCTATTCAAGAGTTCAACTCAAGCCCATGGGTACTGCAGGGATAAAGTGAACCGAGCTGGGAGGAAGAGGGTATTCGCCGCTTCAGGCGGTAATGTTGCAGTGTTCAAAGCTAGGGGTCTAGAATTGACTTCATGTTAGCTTCTTCTTGTCATGTTTTCACTCAGGCTTTGCGCAAGAGTAGGAAGCCCGAAACCACCGTTCGTAGAGGAACCCCCTTACAACAATGACCCGTGTTTATTTCCAGAGTGCCTGTTTGGGGCTTCCCGGGTTAAGTTAAACCCCCTCCCCCCATGTTTTGGGTGGTACTTCTGCCGCCGACACCATTGGGACCAAAGACTGTGCCCTGTCGTCTCAAAGCTCTCGCCGACTTCCCGGGCTCCCATAATTTCTGATTGAAGTAAGACCATTTGTTTCGGCGGTCATCTTTTGACTTTGGGCAGAGGGCAACAGAAAAAAAAACCTGGTTTCTGGAATCAAACATATGAATCCTTGCAATTTTGAGGCTGTTTCTCAACTCAGCCGGTGGAAGGCCGGTGGGCAGGTTGGCAGCTTGAAATCGCTGGGCGGCGTCTCGCCCGCGCCGCAGCCGCAGGCGGCGTGGAGGAAGCCCTTGCCGCCGCGACGAAGCTGGGCCTGGCGCTGCCGATGCCCAACCCCTTCATCCCCGAAGACCTCCAGCAGAAGGCGAGATATTTCATCTAGAAATTAAGGGTGCCCCATAAATCAGCCAGGGGCTGATTCATTTTGGGCTCCCAGTATTTGTCCGGAGCCTTCTTCACAGGCGCATGGCAAGCGCCTTGTTCGGCTTGCGCTTCGCCGCTTCGCCTGGCCAGGTGCTGCCAGAGCCCAACCCCCCGCTGCCGGTGCGGCTGAAGCCTGGCAGTCCGGTGGTCACTCGGCACTTCGGTTCCCAGCTTTGAGGTCTTGAGGGTTTAGCCCGCGCAACACTCGGCACGGCACGCGGGGGGTGGGGGCCCCAGGTCAGCTACGTCTTCCATCGCCAGGATGACCAGCCCCTCGGCTTTACGAACAAAAGTGGGCGATGCGATCATGGCATTTGGAAAGGGGGAAAACAGCACAGATTCTATCTACCTTGAACAAAGAACAGTACCGCTTAAGAGGCAAACCCAAATACTGCCAGGTTTGATTGCACAAGTTGTCAGCAGACCCTGACCCGTTTGAAGGGAGACCAACATGTTGCTTGAGCAGCTTTGCGAGTAAACATGCTTGAAAAAGGGTTGGCCCATTCATGTTGCTGTTTTCCGACTGTTCGGCTTGAACGATTGCATGCGAAGAGCTGACAACACGACCAGCAGTCTACCGGTAATTTGGGGAGGACATGGCGGGGCGGACAAGGCGAATTTGCAACAAATAAGGGGACCAGCCAATTTGTTACGTGTCCTTTTGGGAGACAAGTAATTAGTTCTATCTGCTCTTGTCAGATAAATTGGCCGCAGTGTTGTCCCTTGCTTGTTAGCAGACGCATCCTACGCAAATGAAGGACTCGCAGTTTCATCTCAATCTTATGGCGTGGACAACTGCTCAGTGCAATCAGCAAGGTTAAATATGCCCCTTTTGGCCGCGACCTCGTGGGATGCGCTAGCCACAGTCGCGCTTGCGCAGCCCATGGGCCAAGCTCAGGTTTCTGCAGCCGAAGGCAGGCTTTGAAGATTTTGTTGGAGTGGACTTGTGGCTGTGGAAGAGCAGGTTGGCATTGCATACATGAACAAAAGTGGGCCGAAACTTGTCGCAGGACATGTTCAAATACCAGAGATATTTGAAGACGAAGTTGATGTTTTGAGGGAGGCATTCAGAATCATCAAGCATTCAAGCACCAGGGTGGTTCACAGAACCAGTTTGAGAGATTTAATTGGCACCTTATGCTGCTGTATGGTCAATACACCCAAACACACCCACATTGCCAAACATATGCAAACACAGCAAATCACACAGCCACCAACGTAGACACACGACATCACGCACAACCACAAACACAAACACAAGCACAAGAACAAACACAATCACACACACACAACCACAATCACAACCACAGACAAACACAATGGCAAGCATAAGCATAAACACAAGCACAAGCACAAACACACCCACACAAACACAGGCACAAAAAGACACATACGCGGACATTCACACAAACACAATCCACACACAACCACAAATATAACCATTTTTAAACCACAGTGCAAACATACAACCAACAAGACAATCGCACGCAAGAACACACAACACAAGCACAACCGCCCACGCAAGCAACACTTTGCACACACACACACACACAAACACACAAGCACAATCATCAACAGAAACAACAGTTGACACAGAGACAGACAGAGACAGACAGAGACAGACAGAGACAGACAGAGACAGACAGAGACAGACAGAGACAGACAGAGACAGACAGAGACAGACAGAGACAGACAGAGACAGAGACAGAGACAGACAGAGACAGACAGAGACAGACAGAGACAGACAGAGACAGACAGAGACAGACAGAGACAGACAGAGACAGACAGAGACAGACAGAGACAGACAGAGACAGACAGAGACAGACAGAGACAGACAGAGACAAACAGATAGAGAGCCATGAATATTGCAGAGCTATCTTCTCGTGATACTCTGTCTCTTGCCTTGGGCTTCCGTCGCTTCGTCAGAGGCGCTCTTCCTCTGCGTGCTGCGATCGCCCTTCCTGGCCACGGACGCCCTGGCCATGCTGAGGGCCTACGTCTGGGCGCACTTGGTGCAGGAGGCCGGGAGTACGCGCCCACGGACCCATTTTCGTAGGTGAGTAGCCCAGTAGCCCTGCGTTTTGGCCTCAAAGCGTTTTTCCTTTTGAACTTCCTAACTAATCAGTTGGAATTGTTTTCTTCGACTTGAAGCTCGGCAGCTTGTCCTTTTGAACTTTCTTTCGGATATGATCATTTTGGAGCCATTTCGGAAGCCTGGAAAGACGGTTGGTTCGGTTCAACGGGAGCAGCAGGAAGCTATTCTGAGGGTCAGGCAAACTGCGAAGCCTTGTTTTATCACTTTCCTCCCTTAGTGTCCTTGGGAGTGATTTGTCACATTGTAAGGCCTCTCGCCACCAAACTGCTTTTTCTCAGAGGCATCGCGGGCATGGACACTTGGACAGGCTACTCCCAGCCCTCAGGCCCCACATTTCAACACTTCCATGCACCCCCCACGTGGTTTTCTCATGGTTTCCTTTCAAGACATACCTTGGTGTGGTTACCCAGAGGAGCGCCCCGACAAGTGCACTGTTGCTGTCAGGCATTAGTCTCTCGTGCGGAACGCGCATGTGTCAAACCAGCCGCGAATCATGTTGGTTCCCTTTTCAGACTTATATTCGCTTGAGGTGTTTGTCTTCTTCCCGGTTTGATAAAGACATGGCCATGACTGAGCGCCTTGATCAAACAAACCACACTCCTTGCCAGAAGGGGTGCAGCAGGCGCTCAGCGAGTACGCCTACGATGCGGAGATCGCCAGCTGCTCCTATCACCTGGAGGCGGCAGACGGGGGTATCATTTTGATGCGCCTCGGGTGGCATTGAAAGGATCCTGACAGGTTGTTGAAGCAGTTTGGGCATTAAAAGCCGCGCTTAAACAAGGTGTGTGAGGCCTCACCCGGTTTGCATGCTTCCGGGCTGATTTCTTTCCCTTTTTGGGCTTGAAACGCTTCTGAGCAGCTGGCTATAGCCTTGGTAGCGTACTGCTGGTTGGGGAGGACCCAAATCTCTCCAGGGGGCCGTCTGGCTCATTTAGGTATGTGTCAAAGCTAGGGACCCTTCTTGGGCCATTAAAAAGGATGAATTACCGTTTCCTTCTAGGAGGAAACAGGCTGGTAAACGAACCTGGTTCTTTCGGTGCTTTTCTTGCTGTTTGCTGTTTCAGGCTGTGATGTGTCCAGTGGCAGTTGGGAGCCGGGCTGGGAGGGGGGAGGGGGTGAGGGGGGGGGGGTGAGGGGGGGGGGGGGGGCATGTTACCGTTGCCGTGAAAGGCTTGCACGCACAGGAACACACCGGCAAAAATCGTCTGGAGAGCACCATGTCCATCCCAGCAAACATGAATTTGCTAGAGGAGTCTCTGTGACGAGGGGAGCAAGCAACTGCGTGTGCGCTTGCTTCATAGTGGGGACTCAATGTATAGACAGCTGGTGGCAATCATTGCAAGACTATATCCAGCTCAGCTTGACTCTAATGTGTTTCGCTACATGCATAGCTCCGTTTGGAGGATCAGCTTCTCATTGAGAAGGATTTTTTGCACGCGTTGGCTGCAGTTTGTTGGTTCAGAATTGAACTGCAACTACACACAGAACAGTAGGATGTTGGCCACTTATGCATAAACAATGCTGTCCGATTTCTACCGTTCACTGCCAAGCATGAGGCAAAGACGACAAAAATGCAGAGCAGCCGGGCAACACATGTGTGACGCAGCTTTTTCCACAATTTTCTTCTCCGCCTGTGACCTTTTAGGAGCCGTTTTGGTTTCAGTTTCAAAGAGCGTCAGCGTGTCATTGACGAGTCCATAGTGCCATAGGGCAGTGTTTGTGGGTGCCACATCCAAGACTCGCTACATCCGTTCCTCCACGAGCATTGAACCATGGGATGCTTAGACGGAGCGGGGTAGCCTTTGGGATGAGTCCGAATGAGTCAGCCAGAAGAATGATTGCGGAGAACGCGCCCGAAATCTGGCTTTCGCACTTGAGTGGAAAGCAGTTTTTCTGAAATCCAATTGGAATTTTAAGTCTCAGAAAGGGCAAACCCCGAGCTTGGGACATTCAGGGATTTTACAGCTTATTTCCCGTCATAATGTCTTGGGTTCCGGTTCGTGGGCCGGCGGTTTGCTCGGATCGCCAATTCATCGCCATCTTCCGTGACACTTGATATCACAAGAAAACACCCCTCGGAAAAAGCACCTCTTTCGGGTTTCATTAGTATAGGGTCATTGAAAAAAAAGGGAACCCCTCCAAGTGGTCGGACCCTTTACGATTTTCGGAAACGCCCGCGTGCATTTTCCAGCGAGTCAGCTCTGAGCCACTGAGGGCAGGCGGCTTCCACGACAAGCTTGGGGTTCTCATCCAGGCACTCGCCGAATCGAGCCGACACAGGTTGACATGGGCGAGGCTTTGGTGAGCAACAGTGAGTACAGGGGTCTTTCTGAGGGTGGTCCAATTGGTTTTAGAGAAGGGACGCCAAAGAGACCAACCTTTTTTGGGCGGACACACCGTTACTTACTCGTTCGAAAACTGTAGAATAGGGAAGGACGTTTTGCGCACGAACCCCTGTAATTACCACAAATGACCATGAGGAAGTGATGGTGAAATCTCAACAAACTCCAGTAGTCATTCGGGGGACACGATGAATATTGACTGTAGCTCCAACCTAAACTAAGGCGATTGAAGCTAAGTTGGGGACATTCTGGGCCAGGACAAGTGACTGCCCTGCTTCCTGAAATCGCTTTGGGCGCCCCTTTCGTTCACGGTTTGGTTTCGACAGGTGAGAATGCAAAATCCAGATCTCGAGCTTCCTTATGAAGACTCCGAGTTCAAAACAAATCACTGGAACGGTGGCGTGAAGCAAGTTACGCATGCCGCAACAAAAGACCACACTTTGCCATTGAAGACCGACAAGCCTTCCCAGACTTCATTTCCCGCAACAAGATCCCGGTTGAATTTGATAGTACAGGCATAGAGATGAGGTGACTCAAAGGCGGCGCCAGTTTTCTGAGCATTTGACCGGTCGCATAGACTCAGGCAAAATCTGAAACCTCACAAAGGGGATTTGCGACCCCATCCGCAAAGGATACTCGCCCCATTTGGATTGATTGTTTGAATACTTCATTGCCCCGTATGAATCCAACCCTGGTTCTGGCAAACATTGGCTTTCTTTGAGCCTTCCCCTTGTTTAGACCGATTGCGTGTTCTGACTGATGAATTCGGGAACAAATCTTCCAACATGTCGATACACAAGCCTAATGGTGATTGGTATGGGGTCACTGCCAAGATCAAACAAGCAAATATTTCCACCCCTCAAGGGACATGCAGTACGCAAATCGGAAAGCAAACTAGAAAGATTCGTTGTTCCGCAGGCCGCAGCAATTGGGCTCTGCTTTTTCAGCTGGTCTTCCCAGTCTTCTCACCAGTTTCAGGACGCACCCCTTGCATTGTTCGGGGGGGGGGCTGTTTCGCGAACCGGCGAGGCTGTGGCGCGAAAGATGCTGGAGATTGGCACCTCCTCTCTGGACCGGCGAAAAAAGGGGAAGGGCGGCGGCGCAGCCGTGCAGCCCGCAGACGCCCAGAACTGGGGTCATTATTTTGACGGTTTCTGGGGGTTAAAGTCAAAAAATGTGGTTGTTTCCCTTTAAGTCACAACTTAGGGGGTGACTTTGATCATGGTAAGATAATGAGGCCAGCAGAAGCTCAAAGAGATGGTGCTTGGTTTTCCCTTGACAAGCCCATTTTGTACCCTTGTGCCAGTTGTAGATTGGTTGGGCTTGACACTGCCAGAACAAGCTCCATTTAGGCCGACCATGAGGGCAGAATGAAGATAAGCAACATTACAGAACCACAATATATTTGATAAGCAGCCATGGCTCTCACTGTCAACTTTGACCCTGGTCGGGCTTCTTAGTGGATTGGATGGGTCGTGCTGACTGTGTCGCATTAGTTCATACTGTTAACTACTCCCAGAACATCGGCAGGTCAGCAATCACAACTTTCAACTTTCCTCGAAGCTCCATGCTTAGGTTTTTGGCCAACTTCGACTCTTTTCCATAGTTCGAACGTATTCTTTCTAGTTGCCGTCTCCGTTGATTTGCAAGGCTTGCACTGTCGCGCTGCAGCTTGCCAGGATTCTGTGCCGGAGAACTTCTATCGCATCGTCGTGGACCGCCTCGGGGATGCGCTGCGGAACCAGGATCGAATGGAACTGGGGCTGGGAGCGTTCACAGTCTGACGGCTTTTGGCGCTAGTTGTTTGTTTTGTTTCTTGAGCGCTTTCAAGTTCAATCATCTATGTGTTGTTGTGGTTTAAGTGAGCACCGGCTTCCAGCGAGTATGTCACATTACAGTTCCCGGTTTGCTCCTTTCCTAGCATCATGAAATGCGAGACATTGGGAAGCCCCTTGGTCCTTGCCTCGGGTGTGCCAAGCAGCTGTCATGATTGGGGGTGGTGACATGAGTCTGCAGTAGCAACAGATCATGGTTCCGTCACACCAAGCAGGCACAGACAGTCCCACACACACATATACACAAAAACAAACACAAATAACAACGCAACCACAACCACAACCACACATACAAGCACAAACACCACCACAAGCACAGGCCACAACTAGAACCACAAATACAAACATAACCACAAAGACAAACACAGACACAGACACAGACACAGAGATAGAGACAACGACAAACACAAAGATAGACACAGGCACAAACAAAAAACGCAACCGCCAATGCAAACACATTCAAGCACGCAAACACAAACACAAGAACAACACACACACAACACAAGCAAACAAAAGCACAAAGACACAAACACACACACATATATACAAATGCAAGCACAAACACAAACTCACAAACACACACACACCAACACAAGCACACAAGCACACAAACACC